ATACATGACTTAATTTCGTAACTTTTAACCAGAGCTTTTTATCAGGGAATGATTTTAAAAATGCATTTCGTCGAAAGAGTACTTTGCAGCTTTCTATTCTTCATGTTCTTGAAGAAACACTGCTCAGCCATTTCATTTCGTATTGTTACTTGCGTATTCACTAACTCGCACGAATTCGAGCTCACCAGGATTTAAATTTACGTGCTCCTAATTCTCTATATGATTCTATCAGGATTCGGCGCGAACAGGAACTTCCGAAGATTTTCTGATTCTGTAAGTTTTTCGGCTGTCTCGTGGAAAATCTGAGCATGAGGTACTCTGCGAATGATCAGATTTAAAGCGATCAAATTTAAGTGAGTAGAAATAAAATTTATGCCATTATGGCATGAGAATTCATTCGTAATCTCAGAAGAATTTTACTGGCGAGCATAGAGTAACGACTTTTTTTGCTTGACTGAAATTACAAACTTTCGGCTCAAAATGAAATGGTTTCATGTCAGAAACAAGCAGGCTAAAAGCTAAAATCTAACTTGAAGTCATTTCGACGGCCATAGCTACAGCTACAGCAACAGCAACAACAAAATTCCTCGAGTTTACTACAATACTCGTCAGTGATCGTTTTGAATTTATTTTCATTTCATTTTGGTTAATTTAGTCGTCTTTTTGGTAAAAGTCTGATGACGTATGAAGGTAGATAACGTTTTTGTGGCTCAAATTCTTGATCTTGATTTTTATTTTCTCGTTTTGCAGGTTTCCTCGACCACCCAAAGTTGGATACCAAGCCGGGAACCCGGTCACTTTCATCACGAGACTGAATCAAATATCAATCTCGGACAGAAGCTAAATTGGATAGACCCATAATTCAAAGAATAAAATGAAAAAAGTGGGAGGTTGATCCGCTCACCATCCTCTACAACACCCGCCTCTATTAGACAATTTATAACAGATATTTACCTTCTTACACCCGCCCATTTTAGGCAGTTTTCGAGACTCTTGATAGAAGTCATCTACCCTGTGGTGTAAACATCTACAAAATTATCTTTTAATATACATGTCTATTACAGTAGTAATATTACAATCTTCCTCTTACAATCTTATAATACAGTGATATATAAACGCATTCGTCTTGTGTAAGCAAATTTCTGTCTTAATACACGTGCGGGAGACAAAACATCGTTACCGCAACGTATACAGCTTTCATAAATACTTGAAACATCTGACGACAAATATTATGGAGAGGAGGGAGGGGGGGTACGGTAGCTTATTGACTTCCAAATTTTTGCATTCTGTCCAATGTTGATATTTTTTCTCTGGTCTATGGTTTTCATCGTTATTTTTCTTCTTTTGAAGACTGACTGTTGAATATCCCTAATGCTTCAAACAAATTAAAACGGAAGAGCTTGATCTAAGTGAAAGACAAAATTTACAAAGTAGATTGAGCGCATTTTATTTTAGTTCGATTCAAACACCAAAATCGAAAGCTCATCTTTTATTGTCTTGCAATACATCCCCAATAAACCACAAGTTTCAGACTAACAAAGCACTTTGTTTGCGTTAAATTCTCCGTAGCGCAAAATTTTCACAAGGGTTCCTTTAAACTTTTCCACCAAAGAGTAATTAAATAGTAGCTCGCGCCAAAAGAATTGAAGAGTGATCGCTAATTTCTCTTCCGTTCGTAAGAAACAAATCAGAAAAATCTTGGAAGTTTCATTTCTTTCATAATAAATTCCGACTCGTCTATCTCTATACCATTTTTTTACACTTCAATTCTTTGCACGAGATGAGGTGTGGGGGTTCCCAAGGAAAACTCTAGAGTGTTCAATCAGTAATATTAAATTTATCTCAAAAATTGCGATCGAGTTTTTAAGCGTTCGGCTTGCCATCATGTCCTTCTGGGAGTAAGAGATCTTTTTACTTTGGAGCCAACAATTTTGAATGTAACACAGAATGCAAAAGCATAAAAAATGTATCCCATTCCTTGAGCAAGATTTCCAGATTAAAAAATTCTCGTTTTTTACCAAATTTCGATTAAAAAGAAAAATATGAAATATTGGAGCTTATTATTTGAATTTGAGTTTAGCCACAAGAGCTAAGACATTTCAACTGGGCTCCAACTTTCTTAAACTAACTTTGCTAAGCTTTTGAGAAATTAGTAGCTGAGACATTTTACAATTAGAGTTCAAATTTCTATTAGATTTGCGAAAAGATTTGATAAAATAGCGTCAAAAAGAAGGTGGAGCGAATTCTTTAAATTTGATTTTAGCCCTCAAAAGCTACATGTAACAATTAGGCTCCAAGTTTCTTAAACTAGACTGATTCGTGAAGCGATTTGAGAAATAAATTAGTATAAATTCTTTGAATTCGATCAGACTAGCCCCACAGGAGAGAAAAGAAGTTTCAGATCCAAGTCATTAAAGATGAATTATTGCAAATGTTTCAAGATTTAGTCATTAAATACTTTCAATTTCTGTTTATAACCAGAATTTCAAACTCCTGTGTTACACCAAGTCACTGCCCAAAAGGTCTTCTTTCCACTTCAACCGAATGATATGAAATAACTAAACTAACTACATGTACACGGTGTGTATGCACTACTGCACTAGTGTGTTCTACAAACCTACAGACTCGCATAATTACTTGTTATATTCTCTTCGCATCCATCTCACGTTAAGAATTCCATTCCTTTCTCTCAGTTTCTAAGACTTCGTCGTTTATGTAGTGATGACTCTGATTTCCACCACAAATCAGAGTCAATGTGTCAGTTTTTCGATAATCGTGGTTACCCTGTTTCTGTCGTTTAAGCGGGTTACCACCGCGCCCAACTTATTGATCGACATTCAGCACTACAAACGTCGCATAAGGAAGATTCCGACCGCATTCCATTCACTCTCACGTTTCACCCTCACAACCACTCAGTTAAATCCATCATTCTTAAAAACTTTAAATTACTTCAAAACGATCCAGAGACAAGCACTATCTTTTCGCAGCCTCCGCTCATTTCATTCAAACGCGACAAAAACATAGGCAATTTTTTGGTCAGAAGTTCTTTTCAGACTAATGACCAACCAGGCACTTTTAAATGCGCTCGTGCACGATGCAAAACGTGTCCTTTCATTCACAACACTGATAAAATATCGGGACCTAAACGATCCATTAAGATCACCGATCACTTCACGTGCACCTCCGCCAATGTAATCTATTGCATAACTTGCACTTATTGCAAAAAGATATACATCGGCGAAACAGGCAGAAGACTAGGTGACCGATTCCGAGAACACCTTCGAGACGTGGAAAGGAATGACAAGGACACATCGAAACCAGTCGCTAGACATTTTAATTTANCGTAACGATTACAAAAGCTGACGTTTCGAGCGTTAGCCCTTCGTCGGAGCGAATAGAGGAATTGTGGGTTGTGTGTGCTTTTAAAGGCAGAAAATGGAGCTACGTTATTGGTGGGTGCATGGCAACGAGAAAAACATGAATACCTAATCATTCTAAGCAACATATGGCAATCTGCGGTCTTTCCTTACACTTACGTAGCACGGAAAGCCGTAAAAGTCTTGAACAAAGGCTCATCTTTCAAACCGGCAGTCTAAATCCCACAGGGATCAACGAACGCTTTTCATTCCACTAATTTATTCTTGTTTTTCTCGTTGCCATGTTCCCACCAATAACGAAGCTCCTTTTTCTGCTTTTAAAAGCACGCACAACCCACAATTCCTCTATTCGCTCTGACGAAGGGCTAACGCTCGAAACGTCAGCTTTTGTAAGCATTACGGTGGCCAATTTACCATTTCAACTTTGTTGATATATCCAAATTACATGTACAATATATTTTAAAACCAAATGCCTGGTCCAAGGGGTTAAAAGTGATTCTATCTTTTAAATGCACTTAATAAGTTTTACAGACTACCTAGAAAATTCTTATTTATCAAACAATTTTATATAAACCAGCAAAATGACAGCCATCGAAGAAAAGGAATCAAAAGTACTAGCTTTTCAAAGCGAGGACACATTTGTTTTCCATAAACTTTTATTTTAATATACCTAATTTGCATTTGTGATTTGTGCTTTGTTTCGTAAAAGCAAAGCGCTTTCTGTAACAATTTCAATTTCAATTTCAAAATAACCAAATATATTTGTCACTCCTTAAATGTCGAGATGTAACTCGTCATCAATACATGGGGAAGGAAACAAAAAAATATAAAAACTGTTCTGATTTGGTAAACTATCAAATTCTCTGATTTTGTTTGATTTGCATTCCAACGTTCGAATAGAAAGATTAGTTCAAATTAAAATTATGATGAGCAAATAAGAAATTAATTTTGTCGTTGGTTTAAGGCAATTATGATCTGTTATAACAACGAATCTTCGTTAATAGACATATTTTCTATTTATTGATCAAAAGATCAGCTCGTTTGCCATAAGGAAAAAGTGCACGCGACAACCTCGAAAGGTAATTTGGGTACCTGGTAATCAATGAACTTTAGTAAGCGAAACAAATGAATATGGATAGAACGACTTGTCAACTGAGGATAAATACCGACATGCACGTCAACAGGAGAGGAACAAAACAATAGAATATCACGTTGGAAACATTTTTCTTCAGGTACTTCGTATTCACTCTTGTTGAGTTTACATCATTTTCGTCATTTATTAGGGTCAATTCGTTCTAAATTTTTTTCTCATCGAGTCTAAAATTAAAGATCGAGCTTGCGAACAAAGTAAACTCATCAAAGCTGCTATGCCCAGACCTCTTCCTTACAGTGATGTTTTCTCAGATTTCCCCCGTATTGATCACGGAACCGTGATCTGAAAACCACCCACAATGGTATGCGGGATTATCGAGTGCACTTTTGCGCTTTTTCCGACAACCTTTCAGCAAACAGCTGTATTCTCGTTGACGTTCGCGCAATCTGTAAACCATTTTTCAACGACTTGCGAAACAATTCACAATATTCATTTCTATCAAACAAACTCTTCTTTGAATATGAAAAGCTCTATTTCTTAATTGTGAAAAGGAGTCAATTTAAATTGTTCTATATAGTGAGAAATTTTGACTTATTAGGGACCTTAAGAGACCACGACGGCGGCGGCAACGAGGACGAGGAAAAACAAGAGATCTAATTGGCAGAACAATAGCTTAGCACGTGCGTTTTGAAACTTTGTACATTTCTTAGCCGTCCTGTACGAGGCCGCAAATGATCCCAGGACCGCAAATGATCCCGGACCGCAAATGATCCCCAAATTGGACCGCAAATGATCCCGGACCGCAAGTGATCCCTATATTGGACCGCAAATGATCCCGACCAAAAAATAAGGAATGGCATGGACGATGAAATGATAAGGATAGGGAATTGGTGTGAATAGGGATTTTTTTATCAGAACAATCTAACTGGCATCTTTTCCATACTTTCGCCTGAATTTCGTTACTAACTTGGGTTTTTATGNCAAGTGAATGCTCTCTGAATGACTTAAAAGACACAGTACTACACTTCTGCGCCAGCACTTTCCATGACCTGCTGGCCATTTCCTTACCAGCCAACATCTTCAACGCATATCCCTGAGACAGATCAGAACTGAGGGTGTACTGCTCCAGGTATGTCAAATGCTCTATTTCCTAGAAACAAAAAGAATGACCTCCATTTTAGCAACTTTGGAGGAGAGAAGAAATGAAACAAAAAATTCTACCTTTGTTAACAGCTGACCAATTTGCAGCAGAGCTCCTTGCAGTGCCATGTAAAATTTCCAGTAAGTAGGCTGAGTCAACCGCTGATACATCTGGAAGAATTCAGCCGCATTCTCTCCTGAAGTTCGAACTTCCTCCAGATAACTGTAAAACATGGTAGTATTATTTAAAAAAAAAAAAAAAAAAAAAAACTTCCCGGGCGACATCATAAGCTAACGCTTCTCATAACAGTTGCCTGGTTTCATAAAATTAATTGAGCATGAACGCTGTAAATTCACATTGGCCCATCAACATGCTAAGTATTTATCAGGACTATCCCTTAGCAATCTTGGCTCTGAGTTGCAAAAAATGTCTTTTTCGTGTGCGACGGAGTACTCGCTGGTGAATCCTAACGCAGAAATAAAAAATGAGCAAGGCAAGCCCTTGGCAATCGAGTTAAGCAACCTTCCCGATTTGCAAAGTTTATTATCAAAACTCAAAAATTAATTACCTTGTGAGCAAGTCCAGCATATGCTGCTGTCGGCTGGGTATCTAAACAAGAACATTCAAATCATAACTTGGGTAGTGCGCTTCCTGGATTTGAAAGTAACATTCCGGCAGTAAAGCGTGATTATAGGTTACGAGAACGCTTACTGTAACACCAACGTAGTTTTTGAACTTAAACTTTAGATCCTATTTGGTAAAGGAAACTAAAACATTCGCAACAAACGGAATCAAAGTCGGGTGATCAAAACGAGATTTCCATGACTGCTTTTAGTTAAGATTATGGCCGGGTATCTGTATGGTAACCATGGATACAATTTGTGATGAGATTAAGAAACTTGATAATCGGCAGGGAAAGCCTGGACGTGCTCTCGCCAATAGCGGCCGTTTTTCGCTCCTACAACTATTTCACTACCAAAATATACTTCTTCGACGTAACACGACTCCATCCGACTTAAACCATGGTAATCTAGCTGCTGTTCGTTTTTCCCTAAGCTACCAATTTCCCCTTTCCACTTTTGAATATTGTTTTTACTATTTGTACGTTTACCTGACACAAGGACTCTATCATAGTACAAGCCATCTCTCGAGCCGCCCTGTTAGACGGAGTGAACAGCACTTGTCTCAGCCACTCCTCCTCGCGCAGATCCTGCTCATCACTTGTTTCGTTCCTCTTGGTCCTCTCTTTCCATTTCCTGCCATACTTCTCCATCAAGTGTCGTTTTCGTGCTTCACTGCGGCTTTCCCCGGTTGTCACTTTGGATTTGGTGGGCGCCATGGCTTTCCAATGAGAATAAGTATGACTGGTATCTCCATCCATCCACTGCTTGGCTTTGATGCGCACGTCACTATAACCTTGAACAGAGCCCAACGATTTGCAATCTTTGTCCTTTACGAGGGGGGGAAAAGGTAAAAAACCGCTAAATGAACTACTACGTAAGCTTCAGCTCAAGGAGCTCACCTCATGGTTTAATAACCTTAAAAAACTACCCCATTTTTTCAGTGTATCATTTACTATCATTATCAATTATCGCTATATTCGACCACACTGGTTTTCTTCTGGTTCACTCTTACATGGTTGGTGTTTGTCCACCCACGGAAATGACTGTTTCAATTTTTGTTCAAATTGTTTCAATTTCAATTTTGTTTCATGCTTAAAATCACTTGTTTGTGAAAATCGCTCATTTGTTTGGGAAAAAGGTCGAATCTTACAATAATTCGAACTACAACATTTACATATGCAAAAGTCCAAGTGGAAATGTCTACAGCGCCAGTTTCATAACCAAAGAAACATACCTTATTGGTTTTGCTGCTGGGCGATGGTGGTTTCACAAGTTTAAGCAAGATCTTTAGACAGGGTACAGTGATGCTTTCCATGATAAGGGGGCTCCGCACTTCCACAGACATCATGAACAGTGTCATTACTAAGAGATAAAGACATACACCAATAGACCACTTTCATAAATGGCTGCCGGATTAATATTCTCTTGTTTAAATGTAAATAAGCCCTGCTGGCCTCGCTTGGGATAATGTATTCTTTTGAATTTTGTACAGGAGAACGAGGCCAGTAGGGCTAATTTAAATTTAAACAAAAGAATATTAATCCGGCAGCAATTTATGAAAGTGGTCTATACGATTGACATTCAGAAGTACAAAATATCACAAGAGGCACAAGGACACAAATATTACAAAAGACAATCAAAAAATAAAAGATGTCTTTTCTATATCGGTTGAAATAAAATATGCATATTTCTTTTTACAAGAAAACCACTTTAGCTGCGATGTATTTATCACTTAGATACTAACCGCATCTCAAACGCATCTCCCAGCACGAGTCCTCCATCTCAACTGCATTACTCAAAAGTAGCATTTCCCGACTGATTCCTGAGACCTGTAACGAGGAAAGACAAAAATAAACCTTGTAATTTGGTTGACCTAGTTGGAGAAGCCAAGCAGGAAAAAAAATTTTATGCCCTGAAATCATCCCTCCGAGCCAGAGTTTCGGTTAGTGGAGACAAGCGGAAAAGTAATCTTAGGAAATATGGTTGAGGTTTCCCTGACTAGCGCAATTGCTGTTTTTTTCTTGCCTCTTGCCTCATTAAAGGGCTGCGATCTACGTCGCGGAAACGACTCTAACTTTTTTAAATAGCTCCTGTGAAAATTTGACATATCAAGCACGAATACCTACCACTGCAGGGTTGGATTTATGGCTGCCGACAGCTTCACCAACGGCTCCGATTAATATTTCATTCAGTTGATTTGTAGCAATTTCATTATCTTTGGTCAACAAACACAGAAGATGCCTCACGTCACTCCTCATCTGAAGAGTGCCTTCATGCAGGTTAAACTCCACAAGTTCTTGTATAAGGCCCTAGAAGGATACCGAAGGAACAGAGGTCAGAATTCAAGTCTAAAACTTAAGAACATGACGATGTACAACACATACATCTGGCGATGACCAGATTCAAGTTGCAGCATCTCCTTTACTCTATCACGACGCATGACACGTTCGACGTTCCTGCCTCTCAGTGTGCAATATCTCCCCATCAACGACGATCTCTTAAATCTAGCCACCTGCTTGCTCGACAGTGTCCTAAACTGTACAGATAATTTTAAAATACTCAACACTCTCCGGATTCTGAGAGCTCGGGGATCCTTCGCGATACACACTTAACGTACCTCTTCCACCAGTTGCTTGCGAGTTCCTGGCACCATGGCTAATGCTCTTAAGAGTGTCACACAGTGCTCTATAGCAGCCGACGCACAGCCATAACATTCTCCAGGCAAACCCTTAGCACCCGACGTGAGTAACAAGGAGCCGCTACCGCTCTCTGTTGGACCTTTACACTCGCGGCAGTCATACTCCAACAGCTCTTTCCGGGAGGCTAATACTTTCTGTTGGGTAAAGAATGGACAAGTTGGATGAAAAACGTTGTGAAAAAGAACTCAAAGAAAAAAAAAAATAGGAACAAGACAAACCAATGCGCAGTATATCAAAAGCTTCGGGGTATTAAAATCTGTCTTTACTTTTGCATCTCCCTAAGTGTACGAATACTAAACAATAATTTACTTGATGGAATTCATAAACAACTGCGTCGCTTCAACACAGTTCTACATGTACATATCTCACAAAACTTGGTACTGATCAACTGAACGTTTTAAAATTCAGGTTTTAAACAATAATTCAAGAAAACAATTCACAGTCAGGACGATTACACATTCATGCTTTCAACGATCAGTAAGAAAAGCTACATCCACGGACAAATCACCAATTCTTATCTGTTCAGCTGTAACTATGGCGACAAGACACGAACTCGTGTATATTACAATGAATCAGTTCAAATCTTAGACCAAAGGTTGCACAAACCTGAGTGATCTTGCTGAGTTCATCAAATGTGCCCTTGCATTCAACACAATAGCGGTGAGCCAAAGCTTGGATGGCCTTATTGACTCCCGTGTTAGCAGAAGAACTGCTGGATGGTGAAGCACCCGCAACTACTTGTGCTGCTGTGGGTGCTGCGGCAGGTATGTTCTCCTATCACAGTTAAGGGATTAAGGTTAGCACTTTGAAAATTATCATTACTCTGTATAAAGCGCGGAGTAAAATAATGATACAATAGACAGCTAAGGTTATTAATCCTACAGAGCTAGCTCTCTTAGTTTGGTAAACAGAAAGCTACCATGCATGGAAGGTTCAAAAATTACGCTTTCTTTTCTTGTTACAGATATTCCGCACAATTCGTATCAAGAAAGGAATAACAAGGTAACTGAGTGATCATGGGGGGATATGTTCCAATACCAAAATGAAACGAAATAGGTTCTAACGAAAGTCTACTGAAACACCGCTGGAACGAGGTAATGGGTCACTCAACCTGGAGACGGGATGTTTCTTTCTTTAGCGTCCGCCACATAAGACCTTCTCACCTACTCAGCCTTTCAGTATGGTTTACATTACGTCAAAATGTAATCATCCAAACTTGTAGTATTTGCAGCTGTTCAAGTTTACAACGTTTGAGAAATGTATAAAACAAGGGCGGCACGGGGCAGGGCTACTCCCACCAATTAATTAAAAGCAAAACTTTAAAAACATTTTCTTGGGAAACGTGCTCCCAGACCTAAGCATACCCTTGTACCGCTGACAACAAATCACAGTGATATTTCATAGCCAGTGAACTGTTCACCTGTAGTGGTTCTTGCTGGCCATGTTCGAGAAGCCTGTTTAACAGAAGGTCCAAGGGCTGTCTGTGAGACACAAGCTGACGATAAACCCTGTCTGCCCGCTCCAACAGTGAATTGATGTTTCCGACAGCCTATCAAAAAGAGCACAAACAATCCGTAACACTGACTTAGTCGCTTAAGTCTGCTTTTTAAGCTCCATTATCCAAAGACTAAATTTACACTTCATTTACCTCTATAGGTCTCGTTTATTCAAAAATAAGTTATGTTAAGATATATTTTAAGTAAAAATGGTTGAAATAGAGATGCTTCGCCTTTTCTTCAAGAGAGGGTTTTTTTTTTCTATTAAATCGTAATAATCTCCATGTAGTAATCATGATCTACCTTCTTTCTGTCCTCTTCATTCTCAATCGGGTCCACAGCACAACATGGTCTGGCAGTAAGTGTGTAGTCAAACTTGGCATATTTGCAGAATCCACACGCATTGCATAAAAATGGATCTCTCTCGTCATAGTTTATGGACCTGAAAGGATTTAACACTGGTTTGATTGTCTCTTCCCTGTGAAATATGTCTGCAATAAGCCTACAATGCGACAAAGAGCTGAAAACCAATATACTCCTTTTGGCCGATCAAAGAAGGATATCACCAGGAGCCATCAACGTGAAAACAAGTCAACGGTATCTCTTTCTTTCTTTCTTATTCATGATCAAGTGAAAAAAATCTATTAAAGAGCCACCAGCGTATCACGAGTTACTCAAACAGTACTTCAATCACAACAACAACAACAACAACAACGAACACAACAACAACAACGAACACAACAACAACAACGAACACAACAACAACAACGAACACAACAACAACAACGAACACAACAACAACAACGAACACAACAACAACAACAGCGAACACAACAACAACAACAACAACAAGAAAACTACAGAAATCGAGGAGAATCGATGATGGAGAAAGCGAAAAAAAAAAAAAAAGAAAAAAAGAAAAAACAAACAAACAAACAAACCAGGAAATCAAAATAGGAATAATGAGATTTTAAATTGTCTCAAGATAAAGTCGCTTCCCAAGTGCACCGTGACAAAATCAAAAGTAGAAAAAGCAATCAAGAAATCAACCTGCACTTGTGACACTGGTAAACATTCTCTCCACAGTTGCTGCAAACACCAGGATTGGCATTCACGGATGCACTGCAACGAGGGCACTGGAGAGTTTCAGAGGAAGCCTGCATGACAACAAAATAATAAATAAAAATAAAAAATTAATCGTACTCCTAAACTACCAATCATTTTGCGCTCCTGATCACACAGAGGAGCCAGGAAACTATGAATAACTTAATAGGGGTCGGTTGAGTGAATTACAGAAATGTACCTTACATGGTGGCCTGGATATACTCACTTATAACTGAATACAAATTATGTTGAATCAAGGAAAATACTAAGAATACACAAGTATCCGTGGCCATAGGTACAAGATAGAGAAAGAAGGGCAATTTTCACTAAGAAGTTAAAGTGCTAGTGAACCCCTGTTCACCTAACAAAGTCGCTGAATTTCACGAACATAATCTGACACATCGAGCTCACTATGAGAGAAGCGTACCTGAAAATTTTCGTAGAAATCAGCATACTCGATCATTAAGTTGCTGGCAACTATAGGCAGTGGAAAATCAACCTGTGAAGAAAGGGGGAAAGGTTATGACAGACGGTTCATCGAGTTAAAAGAAGACAATAAAAATTCAAATCAAATATTTCAAACCTTAAGCTCTGTTTGGCCTGGAGTGAGGTGACATTTCTTTGCTTTGTGCCACAAGGATCTCCTGCAATAGTTAATAAGTTTCAACACGCTTCAGAAAACAATTCATCACATTTAGACCACTAGTTTCATTAAATTTCGGTTGTATCACTTTGCTGCTAAGACTTTATCACTCACCCACTATGTTGTAGTAATTTTTGTCGCGAAACTTTTAATTTTACCCAAGTAATACATAGCAATCAAATAACGCTTTCATTAGTTCAACGGTTCACTATTCAAAGACCGTCAAATGTTAATTTAAGATTCAACTCGAAAGTAGTAACACGGCGAAGTTGAGAACTCACTTGTTCTTGAGTTCCACGACTGCTTGCACGGTGCGGTTGTTGTAGTACAAATTAATGGTTCGGACCTATCATAAAAGAAAGGAAACGAAGGTAAAGAGACGTAAGTATTTCTCTTACCTTACTTTGCAAAGGAACCTATGCTCCAAGCTCTAACAGATAAGTCGCCCAAATTTAGTCAGTGAGTCAATACAGCTAGGGTAAAAGATGTCTTAGTTTCAGTAATGTTTATAGCTCGATGAATAAAGAACTTTGCTGTAAATTCGAGACAGTGTAATATCCTACCATTTTTTGCCTCTTGAGATCTGCAATCCTCAATGTGACTCTTGAGATTGTATGACTTCCAATCAGCTTTACAAGCTGACATGTTGTGGTGAAGCGGGAATCCCCTTTGATGGCAGACAACTTCAGGCTCTATCAGAAATGAATTTTACAATTGAGAGGTCTTAAGCCTTCCTCAAAAACAACATTTAAAATTCAACGCTAGTCATTAAATGTAAAACAATACCTTACAGAGTGAACCAAGTTTCAGACAGTACGTTACAACTGAATCAACTTTGTAAACTAAAGTTCAGTAAATCCTCGACTATGTCTCGGAGTTGCATAACTTTCCCGAATTCTCCTAACTCCCTTGCGTGCAGACAAAACCATGTACGGAGAGTCTTCTTCTGCTTTTGGTTTGATAACACTTTATCATAGGAATCTGAAAGTGGTTAGGTGCCTTTACTGATGCTGGTATCAATTTCACGCGTAGATTAACACTTTTAAACCGTAAGAGTGCCCAGCATCCAATTTCTCCTTTCAAATAAACAAAAGGACAACGAAGCACAAGTAAAGTCATACTTGGAAAGGAACTTCCGGATTGTTACAGACAAGACAGGGATCGCTCTCCAGATAATAGCCATCAAACTCCACAAACCCTGACAACATCCTAAACGAAAACAAAAATAGCATTTACTTCCAGAAACCACCACAACAGTGAAAGATTTTTGGCGATTTCCGATTTGTAAATTATTCACCTCATTGTTAAAATGAGTCTGAAACGAGAAATTGAAAAACGAATGCGAAAATGGGAAACTAAAATAATAATTACGAAAAAAAAACAAGAAGCCCCATACAAAAAAATTTGAAAGGTTAAGTCAATGGTGATTTTTTTCAAAAACGCAACAAATCAAGAAATATGAAACATTTCCTTGATTTATTTGAAGATGTAACTTAAGGGAATAAAAAAGGCCTATCATAAAACAGAGATAAAATCTTAGTCGAATCTATTAAACTTCACCAAACTTCTTCTATTTACCACTTGTTAATGATTTATCGTAAGATTTACTTTCACTGGCCGGTAATAATAACAAGTGCACGCAGACACTGACCTGTATACGTTGGAGTTAGGATGGTTTGCAAGAACGTTATTCTGTGCCATTAATACTTGAACTGCCTTAACACAATATTCCTGCAACTGCAAATCAGAAACTCGTCAGTGTCTTAACGGTGACATTATCAGCGGGGTATTAGGACGAGTGACATTGAGGTGGTTACTAATTTTAATGATTCAGCTGCCATTTATTTCATATTTATTTTATTGATTGCTGCGTGCGCTGATTGAAGGGGCGAGATGGGCCCTTTTTGTCCGCGCTGTTCCTCTAAAAGTATTTCCTTCGATGGGGTCGCAAAACACAACTATCATACTTCTTGAAGACAATCAAAACGAAGAAATCCACCAAGAATTTCGTGAATTTCTTCGTTCTAACCAAGGGAGTGAGATCAGCTGCAAAAAGCAATTGCTGTACACATTTGTTTGACGAAAACGTTCTTAAAAAGATTTTTTTAATAAGCAATGGGGTCGTAAACACAACAGTCGCATGACAATGCCAAGAAAGACTTCTCATAGGAAACTTGCTGGCGAAAATAAGGTTTGACGCAAGAAATAGCCAAGTGTATCTACAGTAACACAGACAAAAGGAACAACACTGTTACATGACAAACATTTAACGAAGCCCATCTCATAAAACGTTTGTAGAGACTTCACGCCCACCTCTTGCAACACCAACGCGCGAGTACTTTATCAGATTGAGTCAAATACCTCATCAGAGCTTGATTCACACTTGATCGAAAAGTATCCCAGGAGATCAACAAACTGAGCCGCTCGTCGGCCATAGTCTGGTAGGAATGGCCAGATTTTCCACATCAACTTGGACAACTGCACTTGCTGGCTGTTGGTTGAGTACCTGGCAAATTCAAGTTTAATTTTAAAAAAGAGGTTACCACATACATACATATATATATAAAAACACAATAAACGGTTTTACACGCCTGCAACTGATAAGCCCCTTCCACCGCCGAGAGCATCAAGTTTCTATTCAACCCCCTCTCTAGGAAGCCACTTCCCATCACTCTCTCTCTCGCTTCAACATTGCTGGTTCGGCAACCAAACTACAAACTGCACATAGTATTAGTTTAAGTTTGGTGGCAGCCAGAGTAAGAGTAATGACTTGCATTTTAGGTCACATCGTTGCTTTCTAAATACCTATACCAACCCGACCACTCTCACCAGCCCCTCTGTTTAGAAGCCTTTAAAATTAATACGGCGGTAGAGGGGGAGAGGGGTCGTTGGCGCTTTTATGGTAAGAAATGCGAAGATGATTTAAGGTATTAAAAAACACAAGTGATGTGGACATACTTGTGCATGTTGTAAAGCAGTTCGTGAACCTGCCACCTCACAGCAGTGGCATTAGACTCTAAAAGAAAGGTCTGGACAAACTGAATCATCACTTCTCCATTGACACTGTCATGCAGCAACTGAACCAGGCTCTGAGCAGCTGCTGAATGCAACAGTTATGTCACGTGAGCAATTTGAACATCTCTTTAAAAAAATACACAGCAAACATACCATGTTTCGTTCAATAAGAGTTCAGTCCATATCGAAATCGATGGACTGCCCAGGTGAAGGACAGAAAGGGGATCAAGAGAAGAGAAAGGGGGGCTAGGAAAAGGACAAAAAAAGACCCAAGACAATGATAAAAGGGGGCCCAGGAAAGGACAGAAAGGGGCACAGGACAAGGACAAAAGGGGGTCGAGGAGAAGGTCAGAAAGCGGCCCAAGAAAGTCTCGTTTTTTCACCCATTCACTCTCAGGATCTGAATGTCAATTTTCACCACTGTTTGTCACATTTCGTAAAAGTTTAGCTCTGAAAAAAATTAGTATTACTTAAAAATAATTTCGAGTTGATGTTCTTCATCTTTCTCATCACTTTTCAAACTGCAGTGTTTTAACTGATCACGTGCGAGCGTATATTCCTATACATAACTCTTACTAACCGAGTTCGAGGTCCTTACTGTAAGTTACGTTTACCAAGCGGGAAAAAACGAGGTTCCGTTACTTATAGTACAGATCGAGAAAAAGGAGGATACCGAGGTATTTATTACATCTCTGGGTTCAAATAGTGGGGCAAGTTTCGAATTCAAACGAAAACTATTGAATTTGACGGGCCCTGCAGTGTTATACGGCCGGCTGAATTTAACAATCATAGTGCACGTACTAACTGAGAGATAAAATCACGTTCTTTATGTATTTCCTGTGGCACTAACAAGTAGAATTTGTTTAAACTTAAATCTGATTCAGGGGTGATACCGAAAGGATAAATTAGAAGTCAGTCACTCTTGAAGGTGAGATAAAACCAATAAGGGAACGAGGAAAAGTTTTAACTATATTTACCCTGGACTTAGAATGTGGTCAACCTACCTTCGCTCCTTCCAGTGTCTGCCGAACCTGCAAAAAATAAATAAACTTTAAATTGCGTCTGATAAAAGATACGCATAGCTTTAAGGCCACTATAAATGTTCCAAACTAACAAACCGGGAATTACCCTCTAAAAGAAACGCAATTACACGTAGCTAATGAGATGCCCCCCTCTCTAAAACAGTAGAAATGTAACCAAAAGCATGACTTCGGTTTTTATTAAAGCGTCAAATAACTACCCGGGGAGCATGAGGGGAAAACGAATGCTTTATGCTGTTGTTCAGTGGCATCATTACTACAATGCTGCTTTGGCACAATTCGAAAGTAACTTTCAGCATAACTTGACAACAAGCAGGAAGAAAATTCACCACTTGGGATATGCAAACTGTATTCAAACAACTCGCTTACCTGAGGTAGGGCACAAGCATTTCTTACAGAATGTACAGAAATTTCAATCGATTGTTGAGAGTAATTTAAGATTTCCCTTCTTTTACTTTACTTTACTATACTACTTGATCGGTATAGAAAACTGGAGCTAATTTCTCAATCACTTGCGTTTTCTCGAGCCTCAACCAGTTTCCTGTTTTAAAGTTGACTTCTCACTGGTCTATTACGACATTTTCCACCGATTGAATCCACTTTTGACATTACTTTGGTATCAGTCTAGCTATATGCTCAATCAAAAAACACCCAAACAATGGGCATCTCTTTTCTTAGCAATGGAAAAACTAACCTGAAGCCTTCTCTTTGTCCTTGTGTTTGTCTTTGTCTTTGTCAGAATCCTTATCTTTGCTCTTTGACTTCTCTTTGTCCTTGTCCTTCTTGCTTTTCTGTGGAGAGCTTGATGGTTGCGATTTCATTTCACAAATGGCGTAACCTAACAACTGTAACATTAGAGGTGTGACACCCTCTTCAAACAGGAAGCTGCTCCTCAACAGAAATGGAAGAGTATCTGCAATAAGGAGTCAACACCATCACTATCATATTAAATCATTACAAGGTTAACATCCGTTGTAGAGCTCTGAAAACTACATTTAATAAAGTTTCAATTAGTTACTAGGATTCAATCAATTGTCGACCATTAACGATTACTGTAAATTAAACTAAGTAGTTTCATAGAGAAGCTTATGCCGCTTTACTGACTTTTAATCTGTTACTTTCGCCAGCAATGTTATCAGTCGTGATATTATGATGACACAATGGAACTTTCATTCAAGGAAAACCCTCGAGACTGGGAGAAAGTGTCCCTTGTGCAAAGATGTCCCTTCAACGGTTATAAGAGCATTTTTGTTTTAGTCTGGAGTACAATGTATGACGCTTGGAGTGAAGTGTCCCTACTTAGAGGAGTCCTACAAGAGAGGTTCCACTATATTGATGATAAACACAAGTGGAAGATGCACTGACCTGTTTCCCGTAGACAGAATGCCTGCCAGTTGCTGATACGACTAGACGCAATTTCAGAACATGCCTTTAGGTGTTCGATCTGCGTGGAAGGAAATCGTTATCTCTTAACATGAACCAGCAGACTCACATTGCACTGCACACCTTAATTACTTCTAACTTTTGACATATACAAGTACCGAGATCAGCAGGGAGTTTCAATAACTTTTCAATAAGTAGCGTCCTATAGTGTTATAGGTCGCTGTGCCGTAAGGTGACATTAGAAAATTTAGCACCGCGTTTGCGTGAAAGGTAAACGGCATGAGTGATCGCGTGACCACATTTTTCCGCCATTTTTTTAACGATTGCCGGTTGCGCATTGCCGCTTCTAAGTAAAAATACCCTGTTTCGCGTTTGCTGAGTAGGTAAGATTTTCTTCGCTTTTTCTCTTACAGAGTAGAAGTTAATTGTCGGAAAAAGGGCACCAAAGCTATTCGTTGTACGTCATACGTGGGCGCCTTAAAATCCACCAGGACGAGAGCACGCGCGAAGCCAAACCAGTAAAGTTCACGCTATTTTACTTACAATGTGAAAGGGCAAGCTAACGTTTGCCGTTTCACGTAAATGCGGCGCTAAATCTCTCCACCGAAACCCCTCCCGATCAGTCGTTCGCGCAACAGCAAAGTCATTAGATGTCATTGTCATAATAACTCCCCTTCGAAGAAATTCAACCACTAATACATTCTACAATTGACAGGACTCTCTCCACGCAAGAGAATTGACACTTATTTTCCTGTGGTTTTGAATATGGCTACCTATCTTAACTGCTTAAGGAAAAAACACCCAGCAACTTCTTCTAAGCTTATTAGATTATAAGATAAACAGTACGCAAAGAGGACGTATTACCTACGCTTTGAACTATTATCAAATAAAGTTGTTTGGCAGACAAAATGATACGCAGATTACTCACCAGTGTAATGAGGGTGTCATATGGTAGATTGATCGGTGGATTGCTCAAACTTTCATATCTAAAACCGCCTTGCTTGCTAAGGTCCCTGTTAAATGGTATACTCTGATAAATACGTGGGATAACACTATTCAACAGTTACACTGCTATCTAATGGATAAAAGCTAATAAAACGTACTGCGCATTCCACTGTATAGAGATTTATCCACAGGATAACGTTACCCTCCTTCCGAATACCCTGGGCTTGGTGTAACATCTTACAAGTTTGATTAAAAGTATGTCAGAAGGCACAGCATGACTTCATGAATAAGAAGGCACAGCATGACTTAATCATTTTGTAGCCTGTTAGTGACAAAACAAAAACAACAACAACAAGCACCACTACGTCAACAACAACAACAACAAGCACCACTACGTTAACAACAACAAGCACCACTACGTCAACAACAACAACAAGCACCACTACGTCAACAACAACAACAAGCACCACGTCAACAACAACAACAAGCACCACTACGTCAACAACAACTACCTCACAAACAACGTTAAAAACTCTAGCTACGAGTAATTATTAAGTTGTAGTTTTGTAGATTTGAGTTCATTTATTCATCTGAACAGTCGTCCACGTAGAATAAAGAAAAGGTTCTTCTGCAAATGGAAATAATAAAGTAATAATGACAATGGGAAAAACCGTTTTACACTTCACGCATAAATTCTATTTTTCAACTAAAAATGTAAATTCTTTGAACCCACCTGACAATTTTCATGTGTGATTTTAGAGCATGAAGATCTCTTAATTGGCGATAACTTTCTTTAGATCCACACAGGAACAGCAACAGCTGTAAGAAAAACAACAATTTTGCTATTAAATAACGAATATTTGGAGGAAGAGAGCGAGGCACAAGTGAAGATTTAGTTTATGTAATCACAGTTCAACACATCGTGATACCAAATGACTGAAACTGAGGCAAACCTGCTTTTGAGATTCTTACTAGTTGTTTTCCTCGCATCAATTTAGGAAGCTCTGGCAATAATTTTTAGATGCACCCCTTCAGAGGGGGAAGGCTATGCTTACAATAATTTATATTTGAACGAAAATGACCAAAAAAGGTCAGATCTTCTTTCTCATTTAGTATAGCCTAAGGTGAATGGTAGCTGTTAAGGTTTTTATTGGGTGTATCCTCCTAGAATTGAATTTAACAAGATTCTAAGACTCTAGCTCGTCAAAACAACTATCCGAACTCGTGAACAACAACTTCTCTCCAAGACTTCAACTCAATTTCTGGTATAGGAAAGCTATGCATGTGTCAATAAACACGCCACTTCATAAGATAAACAGTATTCGGCTTCATGCTACGTTCTAATTAAGTATGAAACAAACGTTCGCAGTATTGAGTTCTTAAGGCTCGCAAGGTTCAATTCTTAGATTCATTAAGGTTTGGTTCTTAAGGTTCGTGTTGCGTTTCTTAGCAGTAGCCTTTTCAGTGGTTATTTACCTTTCGGACTTGTCTTCTCACGAATGGAGTCTGCTGAATCACAAGGTACTAAAATAAAAGAAAAGGATATTTTAACGTTACCAGTGAAAACTGCATGTATGTGAAAACTGCATGTATGATATAGATTGTGTTGCATACAATGCAAGTTCTGCATAGTTTAGATTAAACCAAACGAAATCAATCTTTCCGTACATTCTGCCTCACTAACCTCGCACAAGATTTGATACCATTCCTCGCCAAACTGTGGGGAATTGTCAAGATGAAGAGAATCTGCAACCTTCTTCACCTAAAGTGAAACAAAGTTTTTAAGCATAATCTAGACTTACGCTTTACCCAATTTGTCTCCGAGCAAAAGGACTAGCACAGCTACATTACTCACACTAATAGGTGTCATTACATTCGTTTACAATAAAATAACTCTTGAGATTATGCACAGTGTAATACAACAATCAACCTAGACGCACAATTGGTTGCCTGTTTTTTAAAAAGTTGATTTTTATCACATTTACTTGGTATGGAAGTCTCAGAGCCATTTCAGTCAGCAGTTGTGGATAAGCTTCAAACACATCTCCGGCGTGTCCCTAAATGACGAATGAACATTAAAAAAAAAAATTATAAAAATCACAAATATTTGCAATCAAGTCCGGTCGCTGAATAACATTCTTCATGTTGAGTGAACACAAGCGAACTTTCAACAATATTGGAACGTTTACATTTCACAAGTGATTTAGCACAACGTGCAATCAGTATGAAAGACAGATAAAGTGCATTTCGAAAGGGTGTCTCAAAACCAAAGCCAAATTTGCAACAAAGGCCGATAAGAACAAACGAGGCTATCAAAAGATGTCATTGAGAAGTCAGTTAAATCAAGAAAACTGTCAGAAGAGCAGGAAATACCCTGTACCGGGTCGCGACAAGCGCTTTGCATCCGATTGGCTGAGAAGCTGACGTAAGTTTTCTTCACCAATAAAACAGCGCAGTAGATTTTAACCAATGTCGTGGCGTATTACTTGAGATCTTCGATTGAAAATTTCTTCTCATCATTGCTCACCACAGAGTGGGTATCTTTCATTGGACTACACAAAATAAAGCATACGAAGTCTCCGTCGTTAAACAAAGTGATCTTCCAATGAACAGAACGCACCTTGACATACTGTCTTAGGAAGAATGGTGACATGTCCGGTGGTGGGCTTGTGGGATGAGGCTTCAATAATGCTCCACCGATACCAGACGGCTCCTCCTGGATAAACAAAAATAATTTTATCCCTGAGATTAGGTAGTTGATAGTGTTAAAAGCCGAAAGCATGAAGTTACGTCAACAGCATGTAGGAAGGGAAGTCTCTTAAATAAAGTACGACATTTGAAGACTCGAACACAGAAAAAATTGATAACAGAGTTAATATTACTCGGGCAAAATTGAATATTTTTGTTCCTTTCATAATAGTACCATGTACAATTCAAATTAATATCAGAGTACTATTTTGACATGTTTTTCAATAACCAGGGCTCGACACTAACGGTAGCCAACTAGCCACGGACAAGTAGAAATTCAGTTTTTTGGCTGGTGGTTTTCGATTTCCACTGGCCAATTTGGCTAGTAAACAAACTGAAATTGTCGTAACATCTACGTTGTCACTAGCCACTTGGATAGTAAGTTGAAGAGTTAGTGTCGAGCCCTGAATAATGTAAGATTCTTGTTGATACTTTCGTTATTTCAGTTTGACATCCACCTAAACTGTTAAGGTGTTCATGTAACAATGAAAAGATCTTGGTGTTTATAGAATTTCAAATGGAGGCCTACTTCTTCGTGGCTGGCCACCTCTTTCCAGTGCTCCAAAAGAGTCTTTAGAATTTCCAGACAGTTACTTGTAATTCCCAACTCACACAGAGTGGCTGACGTTTGTCTACACACCAAAGAGGAAGCCTTGAGGGAAAAATATCCATCATGAGTTACTAGGTCTTCACGGTTACACCTGGTTTCAAAATAAATTTGCACTAATTCTAATAAACTTTTTTACTGCTGACAAGTCTTGCAGTTCAATCCACTCTCGTTCTCAAATATTTACAAGTTTGAAAATGTTGCACTTTTTCGCGTAGCTGTTAAATAAGCACTGTACTCAACAACTACACACAGATGTAACATGGATCTCTTGGCTGTAAATAAAGATCTTCTCATTTCGGTAATATAATTCTCATAAATCAAAAAAATTAGAAAGAAAAAGGTGTACATGGCTCCTTCTGATTTTACCTCAACAGAAAACGCGAGTAACCGAGACGACATATGTTTTTACCGGGCCAATCACTGTTCAAAGTAAAGCAGACCAGTGCAATCCCTTATGACTTCCACATTTGATAAGGAAATTGCGCTTACAAGCACTTATCTTTAAGCAAAGATGATAAATTTTCGTTACCACAGAACCACTTTTTGAACTGGACTTTGTTCTTGACATCAGCACACTCAACAGCCTCATGATGATCAGCCAGACCTCGTGTTGTTTGGTTCGAGATGAAATGTGTTTCACATCCTGCTAAAATAATAAAAGAATGATATTTTCAGTGTAAGTTTCATATCGATAGCAACTGAAACCATTCTCGGCAGTACCAAAGAAAAAGCGCAACGAACAAACTTTTATTTTCTCTATAGTTCAGCTACGAGGCTTGCTAATGTACATCACAAGCTAGCTTCAGTGGCTTTGTTAGAACCCAAGCATAGCACACTGTAAGAAATAATCAATACACAAGCACTCTTTTGAAACGCATTTCCATTGAAGACTGTAAACCAAAGCAAATTAATAAAAACAGACAAACAAAGGAAGGAAAATATCGCATGGAGGCGATGAAAACGTTAAATCTACCAAGGAAAAGCGCGGGAAAAAGGCGCGTGAAAAACGCGAGCGGCCAAGTCCCGATTAGTTTAGTTTTGAGTCTGACTGGTTGAAAGGATAGTAACAAAACAGGGAAGGCATGAGTAGTTACAATCTGATCCAGCTTCAGCTCTTCTAAGCACGTCGACAACACTTTACTCAATGCTGCCCTGTCTCTTTCACTGTCTTCCAAATCAGAACTCAGCATCAGCAAGACCTATAAAATAAGAAATTGGATGAGATTTCCAACCTGTAGCGTACTGTTGACTAATTTTTACTCCGTGTGGCGACGAAATCTACGAGTTCCAGCGTAATTGTTTTTTTTTCCTACTTGAAGTGCACAAATTACAGAGTCCCGCCTAAAATACGACCATACCAATTTTTCATCACGGCGCTCAAAATGCTTAAAGGGGAACAGGGTGGGGGACCATAGTCTTCAAACCTTGTCATCATGTTAATGCCTTCGTAATTTTCGAAATCATATGCTTTTTTTTGTGCACTTACATATAGTAAAGGTTCTAGAGGCATTCTGTTATCACAAAACACTTGTTTATTTTTCTCTACATTATTCAAACCCGTTGTGCGTAGCTCGTAGACGTGACACAACAGTTAACGCCCTTACTACCGTAATTTCTACACAAGTAGTTTTGTGAAATTTCTTCTTTGACCCATCTTTTTCCAAAATGAAGAAAAAAGGGCTCGTTTAAATAATGCCCGGCCATCAAACCTGCATGAAGGGTATGGCCTGGACACCACCAACATCTTTCAACTTAGGAAGATGAAGCAACAGTTCATCCAAGAGTAGAAGCTTCAGCGAGTGTAGCTTCTCTTGATCCATCTGCGATTCTTTGTCTCCTGAAGTATGAGCCCGACCCTGCTCCTCATCTTCATTATTCCTACTGCCAGGTTGGCTGTCCACAGCAGCTGAAAAGAAGAGCCACAGAATTCATCAAGGAATTTTATTCTTTAATAGGTCTTGGCCAAAAATGATAGTTTCCACAGTCTTAGTTGTTCCCGTTCCTGTTCGAATGACTACGTTTTGCACATCTGATAAATAATCACTGCCCAAGGCGTTTCCTGCCTACGTTGCAAGAAACCACCATTCTTCCTTGAGGAAATAACAGTCAAGCAAGTGAACACCCTCTCTACTCATCACCCACCTCCTAACCTCCCCCCCCCTATTCCATAGCCGTTCTCTTGATCAAGTCACGGAGTTGTCGACGCAAAACCTGCCTGGGAATCCCTTTTACTTCAAGGCCAGTCAAAGTCCTAATTAGCCCTCTTTTTCCGGTAAACCAGGGTGAAGTAAAAAATTATCACCATCAAAACAGAACATAAGGAAATAAGTCACCATCTGGAGCTGAAGGATGATAAACCAACCTGCTTGCTCACTTCCCATGGCGATGGTTTCTATGCTGGTCCCAGTCTCTGCAGCAACTGAATCTAAACTGCTTCCACTTTCAAATTCAGCCCCACTATGTCCCGTGTCAGGAGGCAAAGGAGACCTGGGAGCGCTATGCCCTGCTGAGGAGCCCTGGGCACTACAGGGTGGAACTTCATACTCATCTTCGCTTCCTTGACCTAAGGACAAGTGGCATATGGATACTCGTAAATAATAACGACCCAGAAGTTGAAAAAGGCAGATAAACTATCAGTTTAATTATCAGTTGAATACTTCCTTGGTCAGCTGATGCAGCGCAATAAATTAATTTCCTCACAAACTAAGTAGATGGAAGTAACTTTGCATGTCTTTACGAAAATATAACCACTCCATTTGCACAATGCCCCAATCTGACAATTTCTCTGTTGTGGTACGTTTACCTGAAGCTGTATCAGACGACATGGCAGCTTCAACAGGTATTCCGATGGCTTGAACAGCAGGAAGTGGCAAACCAGGAAGACTTAGACCTTGTCCACCCGCTTGGTCCTGAAGGCTAAGAGCAATGGCAAGCTCCACCATGGCTTCATCATCTGCATCTGGAGGCAGATCCAACATGCCTGGCAGGCCGCCAGCACCAAGCAGTAAGGCCTCCAGATGACTGGCGGCACTTGCTATGGAAGGCCCTGCTGCTGATGGCTGGCTTTGTTCTTGAGCAGGCTCTTCTGGTGCAGCCTTCAATGCGAGAGAGAAAAATATTTTCATATAATTAAATTGAGTTAATGACCTGTTCGCTATCAGCAGTGCTCGTAGCAAAATGGCTAGTGGGCCAAAACATTACGTCAAAAAAGAAATATTCAACGTGCAGGGGGGCATGTTGGCAAGCTGGCTGTTTACAATCACGGCTTAAGAAACTACCTGGAGACCTCCCAGTCGTGCGTCCAGTCTTATCACATTGCAAAGTAAAGTATGTATGTGTGGTGTTAAGAATTACGAAGCAAAACTTCTGAATCACCACTTCCATACAACAGAAATAAAGCAACACCAATAAAAACCACCGTATAATACTTAAAAAGAGCGCCATACCTCATGGGCCTCCGCAGCTTCCTGCCCCCTTGCCTCAGTTTCATCTGCTCCAGTTGCACTTGACCTGTCTGGAGGGGTTTCACCAGCTCTATCCTGGTCTGCCTCATCATCTTCCCCATCAAAGTCATCTCCTCCAGCTCCTTCCCCTACGGGAGTGTTGCATTGAGGAGGGGAATTACCCATCCCATGCCAGTGCTTGTGTATGAGTCGCATCAACGCATGTTTGCAGGCAAAGCTGACAGATTGGTCCTAGGGATACAACAAATCAGAAATTTTTGCTCTGGTGATTAAAGGAGCTTTAGCACCGCTAGGGTGGTTGATAACGAGCAGATTTACTCTAACTGCTAATGACGAACATGAAAATTTGGGCTAAATTATTTAGATGCATTTTTTCGTTCTTGCTTTGTCGTCCCCTCTTCTGTCTTTTTGTGATAGTACCAGACAAATACTTTTTCGTCTCTTTTCGGTTGAAGGTACTCTTGCATGGTAAATACGATAACATGATAAAATAGACTAAAAATTTATCGACAAATTCGTTTCTAGCATCTGCGTCCCCAATACCATTGACAGAAAAACAAAATGTGTCCACAAATAATGAAACAATGCAATAATAAGAACCATGTGAAGGGACACCAAAGTAAATAAAGAAATGGTTTCTATGGTTGCAAATCAAGAGAGAAATAAGTAACTGACTTACAAGATGTGATATCCATGCAATTTGAAAAAAAGCATAAGAATTACAAAAACCCAAAATATTAAGCTAATGATCACAGTAAACAGTAAACTAGGAACCAAACTATCCAAGGAAAAAAAAAACGGAAAAAATCAAGTAGTAAAGAGAAGATGAAATGTAAAAGTACTTCAACCCAGAATTTCAAACTCTGTGCACATTGTCACCCTTGCTTCCAAAATGTACATACCTGGCACAGCAGCATTTTCACGTACTGTTTGACTGCAAGTCCAACTTTAGAAGGATCTGCTATTGCAAATGCATGGACGATGTCAACGAGAGCTGTCACCGTAGACTCCACATGTTGGAATCCTGAAATTAAAACAGCGTTTTATCACTCTTTAGAAAAAAAATATTTCAAAAAGGTTTAAAAAAGAGTAACGTGATTTTTCCAAGCTTGTGAAGACAGTACCTGTGCATCTACAATGTACGTGATTTAAAGTTTTACCTTCAGTTTTTGAACCTTACCAATTGAAGACAATGGCGAAAGAACTGGATTTACAGGTTGACAGCTGTGCAGCTTCCAAAAGGCATTCATTAGACTTACAGCGAAATGGTGTTTCTCGTCACCCTCTGGAGAGAGAAAACAATAAATTTTAAATGGCGGTGCTATTATCGCATGCAATTTTATATCAGTGAAGGATTATGTTATTCAGCGAATGACACAGGCATACTCGGAAAAAGGAACTCCGAGTGCTCCCAACAGGAGTCGAGCCTATGGCCATGTGATTACTGGTTGGAATGCCCCACCACTGAGTTGTGGGGGACTGGTAGCAGGCTGGGCCGTTTAACAAGGTCCATATTGACAAAATTTCTACAAACTGCTTTGAGGCGTTCTTCACCGATTAATCTTCCCGTTCAGAAATAAGACTTGTTAAACTTTTTGTGTACATTAGTAAAAAAGTAAAGGGCAGGAAAGTGTCGGGGTGCAATGTGCACCCTTTCAAACCCTTCCATTAGGAAAATCGTCTTGCGTGCCATCCGCGAAGAAAAAACAATGAATTGTGTTGAGTTCGTTAAACTGGTAAGAGGCGAACACGGTGTAAGCAAAAGACAAGTTTCAGACAAAGCATGCATCATAATAATAAAGAAGGGTAGCATTTTATAGTAAAAATAATCACAAAAATAGCTGTAAAAGAATGGAGCCAACACTGTCGTTACCAATCTGTTCCTTAACTTACCATCTGTTGTCTTTTGTTCAGGTAGGATGGTGTACTTTGCCAGATTACTGGGTCTTGTAATGGCTACAGATCTAGCACTCACCACCAGATGCTGGAAACTTTCTACATCAAGTTCACTGACATTTACCAAAACCTCTTCGATTTCTTCTTCCTTTTCTGTCTGTGGTGTCTCTTCAACTTCTGTATCTTTGTTTTCTTCCTTTGTTTCCTCTCCATCACAAGGACTTTCAAGCTTACAGAGGAAGTTTACTACTTGTGAAAGCTGTGCCTGATCCTGGAGCAAAAAAAAACATATTTATGTTAACAATCACATGAAACAATCTAGATAAAAAAGAGAAAGAAGTTTTTCGTCTTGTCGCGAGCGTGGGACAAAGAAAAAATTCGAGTTCCGATGAGGAATCGAACCTCAGATTCCGCGCTCCGATGCTCTACCTTTGAGTCACAAAGACTCTGTGGTGAGCAAGGCCCATTACGAAGTTCATATATACGACACGCGTCTGCATACTGTTAGGATCGACAATGTCGACAGTGTCATGTGTTGTAAATAGAATAAGAAAGATGGTAAGTTTTGAGTTCGGTAAAGAAATAGAGAAAGGTGTTTTTTGTCTTGTCACGAGCGTGGGGGAAGAACAAATTCTGAGTCCGCATGAGGAATCTGGATATATGTTCAAAATGTTCACCTCTGACCATTACAAATAAAAGAAAACGTGGTAAGCCTTAAATGCCTTTGATTGACTGCCGCATGAACGACCTAACTTTCCATTCATTCCCTTTAAAACGAGATTTTTTAAAATTTCTTTTGTGCAACACAAAGAATTTAATTTTACATGAAAAAGTAATTTGGGGATTTTTTTCGGACACCCCTCAAATGCTATCTACAGTCATCTTTTTCATTCTTATCAGCTCTACAAAATGAAGCCACAAAGCTAGACCTACACGTTTAATCCAAGTACACTGACACTGTTACTTTTTAGACCAGTTATCCATATTACATAGTTACGTATGTGCTTGGAATTGCTCCCAGGCAAACAGATGAGAAAAATGTTTGAAAAGAATGAACTCGGCGATATTTAGAAATTTACAAGACTATCTGTCTAAGAGATATGTTGTTAACCGTAGAGGGGATCACTTTTACGGTAATGGGTGTTCATCCACATGTAGTTAATGGAGATAAACACTCTTCCTTGAATTGGAAAGCAACTAGATCTAATCTAAACTGTACCTTGTGGCTGTGGTAGGACACTTTTGATGGATGTAAAGTGGCAAGCAGAGTCTGGGCTTGATGTTGAACACGTGATGGCATAGCACTGGTCATCAGTGAGGTAGCAGCATCTAGAGCGGACTGCCTTGAGGACCCATCCTGCGACACAAAGCTGGAAAAGCAGCCATCGACTACCTCCAGGAGGTGCACCACAAGTCTGAAAGAAACAAGTTGTCAAGTCAGTGTCTGGTAACCATGTGCCTGCAGTTACATTCACATTTACAAATACATGCCACAATTCATCGAATCGAAATATGGCGTCCACTTTGAATTACCATTGTTTTGGACTTAATAGCCTCGTCTTGAAGTGGAAACACAAAACGATTATCACATGTGTGAGAGGCTAGTCAGTCCAGAACAATGGCAATTCAAATTGGACGCCATATTTTGATTCGGTTGATGGTGACCTTCATTTTTGTTAAAAAAAAAATCCAAGACAACAGCGTTCTGTTTGAGGTACAATGTCAAGTGCATAATTCAGACGAACCCACTTAGCAATAAGTCCTACCTGTGTCTGAAACATATCCAAGATTGCAAGCAATGACAGAATTCACTATAACAATCAAAACTGCAAAGTAGTCAGATTGGTAGGCTGCCTAAAATGGTACTTATAACAGTAGTTTCCTTACTTGTCAGCAGGTGTCAGTGGTGGAACTGAGTTAACAATTTCCGCCTCATTGTCCACACTAGCTGCACTTCCCATACCAGGAGTGGAAGGAATCTCTTCCTGAGGATCATCAGGCCAACCAAATGCCTCTTTTGTTTTTGTGTACACCTTCACTGAGTCCAACATGGTCACTCCTGATGGGTCTAGAGACTGGCCAACTGAAAAGGCAAATGTAAGATGATAAGTATGAACCTCTCCTATATTGTTCCAAGCATTCAGTTAGTATACTCTAAACTGGTATTCACTATTAACCTAGCTTATAATTATATGTATGTGATCAGGTTTTTGTACATCTATCTGTGCGTAAACTCCTGTTCATGGAAACAAATCTGTACCTGCATACTTGTGCAAGCTGATGCTGTAGGTGTCTTCAAAGACTAGTGCAAATTTAAGGTCCTAAAAAGGCTATTTCGGAGTGAATGACAGAGGACTAACGCTTAAAACGTTAGGTTTAGAGACTCTTCACGGTGGTCAATTAACAAATGGTAAACACCACAGCGTACACTATTGAGTTATGGATGCACTTGGGAAGTTGCTAAGCACGAAAGAAGCTAGAGTCGCTCGAGGCGATAGCCTCGAGCGACTCTTACGCTTCTTTCGTGCTTAGCAACCTCCCAAGTGCATTCATAACTCAATAGTTTCGCCTCGAGCGACTCTTACGCTTCTTTCGTGCTTAGCAACCTCCCAAGTGCATTCATAACTCAATAGTTTCGCCTCGAGCGACTCTTACGCTTCTTTCGTGCTTAGCAACCTCCCAAGTGCATTCATAACTCAATAGTTTCGCCTCGAGCGACTCTTACGCTTCTTTCGTGCCTAGCAACCTCCCAAGTGCATCCATAACTCAATAGTGTACGCTGTGGTGTCTACCATTGATACATTGTAGCTCAAGAGTTCCCTTTTATTTAACAAATCTTACGTGACCAGAAAAAACAATCGCGCGCGGAAAAATAGTCTTTGCATTTGCTCACGTCAGCAGCGTACACCTATGGGCAAATGGGGGACGCCAAATTGACCAATCAGAGCGCGCCCTTTACTCTGGTTATGTTATAATTTACATTATTAATTCAGTTGATAAAACAACATAATCTTGACTCACATATATTTTCAATAGAATCCCCGGAAAGCAAGAGAAACATCAAGTGCACGACAATTTCGCAGAAAACATGATGGTAGTAGGAACAAATAAAAATCAATGTTTACTTACTGAACAAAGAAAACTTTTTGTCAGCAGTCAGTGATTCCTCTCTTGTAAATGGGAGATCAAACCATCTATTTCTCGTTAATGTTAACTGTATAACTCTGCCAAAGATTTCCACGAAGGATGGCGCCTTCTCCACTGACTGACAGCCAATTTGAATTCTCACACCAACCATAATAACACGAGGGTTTGTGTTGGTAATCTCAATATTGAAACCATTTGGCTGCAAGTGAAAAAAACAAAACATAACAAAAAAAAAAAAAGCAAATTCAGTTAGACCATTTCCATATGGTGAGAACACACACATTTAAAGCATTAATAAAACTAGTATTAACACTTCCCATATCAGACTTTAGATCATTCAAGACGATAGAAATACGAGTGAAAAATAGCACGTGTGTAAACTATTGCTATCAGACAACTCCCAGTCTTGGTCCAAGCACTTCTCTACTCACCTCCACTCCCCAAGAGCCTAAAATAGATCTATCATTAGACGTTTTGTTGTATAGTATCGCTTAGTATTTTTACGAGTTGTGTCGTACTTTGACGAGCCCATAAAGCGAGTCAAAATACAAATAACGAGTAAAAATACTCAGCGATACTACACAACAAAACGCCTAATAAGAGATTTATTATCCAACACGCCAAATTGTTATTTCAGTGCGGGCGAATTTCGCGGATATTTCTGGAGTACAAATATCGCGTGATATTTGTACTCGTCTCGCGCATTATTTGTACTCTGCGAAGCACAGTTGGATAATAAACTCCCTTATTTCTATTTTAACAAAGGAATAATCACATAACCTGTGTTTCTGAGGAACAACGAAGAATGGCTAGCATCTAACTTCTCCCTGAATCAACCATAAAGGTCACGAGAATAAAGGATGAAGGATGAAATGATCTTTATTACTATTGTTAAACAAATTCTCCTGGTCAGCACCTTAGATAATGTATGGAGAACAGTACAGAGAATATGCATACTGATGTTAGAGTGTAAGGGGTTAAAGGTCCTTTTCATAATCTTTCCCAACTTTCACCTTGTTTCCAGTGTTTACCAAAACAACTCTATCAGTGCACCAAGGTATGGTAACCTATCGCTAATATTTCCTATTCTAACAGGTAAAGTAACAACTCTATCAGTGCACCAAGGTATGGTAACCTATCGCCAATATTTCCTATTGTAACAGGTAAAGTAACAACTGTATCAGTGCACCAAGGTATGGTAACCTATCGCCTCTGTTTCCTATTGTAACAGGTTAAATATGTACCAACCTTTGTACTTGCGATATACATTCCAGCCGTCATCAGTCTATGTTTTACTTGCTGCATGTTATAAACTTGAAGAATATCTCCTCCACCAAACTCTACTTCATTGAAAAATGGCTGACAGTGCTCAAAGAAATCCACTTGGAAACTGACAGCTGTGGATTTGACTCTCGCTTTGGATGTTTTCTTCTTTCGAAGAGGCTTCACTATGTTGAGAGGCCTATACATGGGCAGAGAAGACAGAGCTGAATAACATATACGCATGCGCTAGGTTTTGCCGCGGAAACACGGATTTTGAGTCGTTCGCATTGTTGATTTCCTATTCTGTTGCTTCGAGGCGTCGTTTCCCTTGCCGCTTTTCTTTTACAGAATAACCTCCAAAAATTTGGTACACCCCCTAAAAATTTTCAAAAATTAATTTTCTCCTTTAAACCTTTGGAAATAGGAAAGTGCCTTCGACGAAAATAGAGTTCCTCGGTTTTAAAAGTCAGCCCTTATTATTTTCCACTAATTTCGTTAAATTTTAGACCTAGGACACTCGAGCCCGCGTTGTTGACCGCATACCCGCTGACGTAGCATTTCATTATTCAGCTCTGTCGGCAGAGAATTGTCTTAGCCTTGGTAATAATTGTATTCTTGTCTAACAATTGACTAAAAATTGTAAATAAACTGATAAAGAAGAGTCGAAAAGAGTCATCACCTAGTTTATTTCATAATTTACCGATTGATTTATATACTCAGAAGGTTTGCGCGTTAAATGCGTTTTGGTTCAGAGGCTCGTTTCTCGAAAGTTCCGGTAACTTAAGTGCCCGAAGTAATGTTTTAAAATTTAAAAGGATTGAAAAGCGGGTTCTGGCGCCCAAACCAGTCCACTTCATTTCTTTATTTGATGTTTTTATTGTATCATTTTCAATGAAAACAGAACAGAGAGACTTTCAAGAAACAGGCTCCAGGGGCCCGTTTCTCGAAAGTCTCGGTCACTTAACGGACCCGTAAAGCAGTTCTGTTTTCATTTAAGATGGGGATTTCAAAAGTTTTGAAAATAATACAATAAAACTGTCAGCTTAAGAAAC